CCCCCAAAACCCCAAAACCCCAAAACCCCTTTTTATCATTAATAAATAGAAAATAGGAAAATGGAAGACTCTATGAATGATAATAACTTCAGTGCTTCTGATAGCTTCACTAAAGACCTCCAGTCGATCTCTGAAGATGCAAATAGCCCTATAAAAGAGGAGCCCATCGAGTCCAAGCAAGAAGGAGTAGAGAAAGATTTTATGAAGTTCAGTAATGGTCTTACCCTCGATCAAAGGTAAATTTCTATGAAAACATTTTCATTTCGAATATTTTCAGAGTTTTGACAGAATCAGTTCTTGTTTACAATCTTCAAGACTAGAAACAGCTATATAATAATTTCTATGTGCCTTTATTTAATCTGAACCAACAAAAATAATGAACCCCATAATTTGAATTCCCAAAGAATGGTTTTGGAGTCAAAGTATTAAACCACTGCAAAGTTTCAATTAAATGTCTTTTAAGGTGCTGATAAATGCCATAGATCTACCAGGAGATTGACGAAATTCAATGCCAAGTTCAAGACCAAACTTGATTTTTCAGTGTAAGTTGTAATCACTCTAGATAAGAAATTATTTATATCTAGAAAGGATTTGAGTACATTCAGAAGGAAGTCACCTCCATCAGCATTTCAGAAACAAATAAAATTTGGCAAGAGGATACAGAGTTCAAGTGCTTCTAGCTTTGGAAGTGACACTAGTTCTGAATCTAGCAAGACTGGTAAGTTAAATGCACTGTACAGAATTTTATTAAACGATGATTTATTTAAGTTTGCTTGATTCCTTTTAAACTGTGGAACACGTTTGAGCCACTCTTGTATAGAATCAGAAGATCGCTCAGGCTCACAGAGCACTCAATGTCTTAATAAATCGCTTAAGAAGAAGATGAAGTATCTGATAAATCCGTATAACAGGTCTATTAATTTCGCCTAAACATATGGATTTCAAGGAGGAAAATATTTCCAGTAGTAAATGGAAGAAATTGTCAGATTTTGTATTAAAGGAGAAGAAACACGTGCTTCGTGAAAGTCTGGTACAGATTAATGATGCTCTTTATGAAGAATTTGATACAGCAGCACGATGGGCTATGAATCGGATGAACCACCTTAGATTCACACGCCTCAAGTTCAACCAAGAAGCTTATAATCGCATAGAAGGAGAGCGTGCAAAGGATCGGGAAGAGGCTGAAAAGTAACCTCTCATAACTAAATATAGGAATTTAAAAAGTAGGGGAGACCCCATTGGATTTTCTAAATATGAGACTAACCTTTTATAGTGGATAGGAAGTTAATAAACACCATTTTAAAGAACCCCACTCTCAGCTCAACAAAGGAGAAATAGCTCTGAATCCTACATCAAACGGATCAAGGTATTATCTCTCTTAAGAATTTAGGACTTCCTAAAAATGAAGCTAAAATAGGCAGAAAACATTTGAAGATGTTAAGGTTGGTGTCCTGCACACGACACTTGAGCCCAGCTCTGATATTTGTGGAGTTCTATCCCTCTACAAAAGCGTAAGGCTCCTTCCAATCTCCTTAGCATAGGAATAAAATCCATAGTAGGCCATTTTAAGCAACAATAGGAAAATCTGCAAAGGATTTAAAATAAGCATAAGAAAGTTAGCTCAAGAAAGTAATTTTTACTAAAATTTTAGAACACAAAATAAGGTTGTTCTCAAAACTATGAGGAGAGGTATGGTATCTTTAGGCTAAAATTTAGACCCTCCAGTCTGGGATAATAGACCAGTAATCATCAATGTGTCATTATAGAGCATGGAAGCTATCCAAAAAGTTTGGGCTATTAATATTCCCAAGAAACCAACCGTTTTTAAATAAGGGAGTATTGTCAAATAGACACTCTAGGTGAGATTTTGTGTCAAATTTAGACCGAATCAGAACTCAGAGGGCACTAAATTTATCCCATTTTCACCGATTAGCAGCAGGAGGAATATTTCTTCAAACTCTGGGCTGTTCAAGAAGAGAGTGTGCCTTAAGAGACCTCTGAATATAGAGAGTAAGAACTGAGGTATCTCGAATAAGCCAAGTCTACTTTCTCCTCCAAGTAGTTTGTTGGTGACAAGTAAGTTGTTGGTTTACTCTAGGTTCTCGGTCATTTATTAAGTCACAGAGGGTTTCTGTATTTAACAAGGTCAGATCTCCAAAGTTCCTAGCTATCTCAGAGAAATTAGGAAGGCACTCTATCCTGTTCAGGACCCGTAGGAGCACAGTAAGTTGAGGCCAGGACTCCAGGAATTTCGGATTAAAACAATGCTAATTTTTAGAGGAAAAATAAAGAGGAGATAGAGGATATAATTTATGAAGAAAATCAAAGAAAGTCTCTGTTAAGGGAGAGACCAAAGAAGAAAGAAAGATGCGAGAAAGATAGGTTGTTGTGACTGTAAAAACTTCTTGGGTGAAATAATAATTCTGGAAATCTGGGTTTTTGATATTTCTGCTGGGATTTTGGAAAAACAGTTTTGTTATATTTAATGCTCTGCTTTGTGCTATTTCTGATTTAATAAAGTTTTTAATATTATTAATGATAAAGAAATTCAATTTTGTAAAACATTTAATTAAAGAATTTACAGTTTTCAATGATCGGCTCAAAAATAGGGGTTTTGGGGTTTTGGGGTTTTGGGGTTTTGGGG